GTCCCACTCAGAAGGATGTGGAATAGGGTAGACAATCTCGGCATAAGTCTGTCGATAAACTTCTGTAGTGTAGCAATCCATAGCGTATGCGCTTGAATCATCTTGGTTTAAATGAAGAGCAACTTTTATAACATGGCCACACGGATAACCAGATGTTTGCCATTTCATACAACTACACGTCTTTGCATTTAGATCGACCAGCCCATTTAAGTTATTATCCAGTACTTGAAACAAAGTGTGTGAACATGGTTCAACTCTCCATGACGTTGACTTCACAACACATTTCGTTATCTTTTTTTCAGTCCATGGTGTAACACGATGTTCCAATGTTCCTGTAAATTTAAATAAACAATACTTAGTAAAATATATAAATATGATAAGTTACGAATTCAAAGAAATAATACTTGCATGGTTTCTTTTCTTGTAGTACCACTGTTGAATAGAGGCTCGAAAAAACTCCATTAACATAGTAATGGGTAATTTCCGGGAATGACGACTTAGAGCGTTGATTGATTCTGCACTATTAGACGTCATGAAACCATATCTTGCTCCAAGTTGATGTACTCTTGACCATCTTTCAAACCCGACATCTTCTAGTGTTTGAGCACACTGAGGCAAAACACGTCTTAAACAATTTATATGCTTATTGAAATCCACTTCCCGATAAGCTTTTACAGCCTTCCAGTATGTCCATTTGTGCTTTTTTATACCAGCAGACCTTGATTTTAGATTTCTATACAAATGAACACCACAAAGTCCATGAAAAGCATCTGGGAAACACCTTCTAACAGCGTTGTCAATTGAGTTTGCCCTATCGGATATGATTGTCAGATTGTTAATAGGACCTATGCAATCCCTAAGATGCCCCATAAACCATGTCCATGAATCAGAGGTTTCAGATTTGCCAACCCCGTAAGCTATTGGCAATATCCCATTGTTAGCATCCATGGCTACTGCTAATAAGTTTACTCCAAGGTATCGACCTTTCAAATGTGCTCCGTCAACTATAATAACTGGGCGCATGCAAGTAATAAACGAACGAATCTACAAAATAATATACACAAGAAATATAATCATTTAAATGTGAAATGCATGTAACTAACAAAAATGAGTCAACAAAATTATATTGATTTACTAACCGTAGCACCAATGGCGATAAACAGCAACTCAAAGTGTCCATCTCTATCTGTTTTGATATGAGTTACCGACCCAGGATTTTTCAGCTTTAAATTGTGACAATAAGCCGGCAGTTGGGCAAACGATGTTTCTGGCGACCCCCTCAACAATTCCAAGGCATAACATTTGGCTCTCCAAGCTTGAGAATATGATATACTAATCTTGAACCGAGCATTCATGTCAGTCATAATTTCATGTCCCCGATATACCCTGCCATTCAAAAACATTAACTCAGCCAGAAAACCACCCAACACCTTTTTGTTTGCCTGTCTATGGTGAGGAAAAACTTGGGTTCTTGAACATGTATGTTTATCAATAAAAGTCCTAACTTGAAACATTTCGCAATCTTTTATTCTCTTTGCAATCATACACCACGTACAGTTTTTGTCAATCATACACCTTGTTTCGAAACGATCTTTGCTTGATTTGTTAACTTTTAGTTGATAGCCATCTTCCACACATTTCGTATACAAAGCTATCTTCAAGTCTTCCTTTGTATCAAAACAATCATCTTTCTTGATACGAATAACTTTTGTGTAACAATCAACTGCTTTCTTTACCAACTCTTCTTCCGGTATCTGAAGTAATTCTGGCATATTCCAGTTATACGCCCGTGGCATTTTCTTTTCTTCGGGACTTTTTCTTCTTCTTTTTCTTCTTCAGGATTATATGAATTACAGAATGGATGTTCAACATGTTCATTCACAGTCGTAACTTCCTCCTCATTATCATCAACAATATCTTCTTCGGTAACGGCTGTTTCATCATCAAAATTCGGGTATTGACCAATATCAAAATCATTACACGCAGGGTCTGTTTCTTCTTCTGAAACATCATCAAAATCCGTGTATTGACCAATATCAAAGTCCGGATATTGACCAAGACCAAATTTCGAATACTGACTAGTACTCACAATTTTTTCTGTTGGCTCATCATCGTCTAACTGGTCAATACGAAAACCGAAATTTGGTGCTGAAAGTTGATTGGGATTTGGATTAGAGAAAGGTTGTGGGTTTTGAGAAAAACTTAGTTGATTACTACCCGCTACTGACCCAACAATACTACTTCTAGGTTCAACAACATACAATGTAACATCATCTTGTGAAACACTAATGTAAGCAATGAATCGTTCAACATCTTCATTGTCGGTTAACAAATAAACTTTACCATTTCTCTGATAAGATAGCCTAAATCCACTTAGGGGCTCTAAATTCAATTTCTTTGAAACACGTAGCATTAGAGTTTCATAAGTTAACTTTTGTAAAGACAATTTTAGTTGAAGATTCATGGGTAAAGGCATATATTGTAAAACACCATGAACATTATCCCATGACCCTCCAAAACACAAATCTATCCAAACATGATCAACATTAGATGATTTCATGGTTGTAAATTAATTTACTAAACAGACGAGCTGCGAAACTAAAACCTGTTGCCGGATTGGGAAGGATGTCGTTGGATATAGGAACGGATGTCGCCGGAGAGAGTGATAGATGGAGATGGAATGAGTTGCGATTTAGGGATTTAGTTTATGATTTGCTGCTGTTGCGTAGTTATATACCCAAAATTTCAGTGTTGCGATTTACAGATTCTCGTTGCGATTTACGGATTATCGTTGCGATTTACAGATTCTCGTTGCGATTTACGGATTATCGTTGCGATTTATGGATACGCGTTGCGATTTACGGATACGCATTGCGATTTACGGATACGCGTTGCGATTTACGGATACACGTTGCGGTTTACGAATACGCGTTTCGTACTACTTCTAGGTTCAACAACATACAATGTAACATCATCTTGTGAAACACTAATGTAAGCAATGAATCGTTCAACATCTTCATTGTCGGTTAACAAATAAACTTTACCATTTCTCTGATAAGATAGCCTAAATCCACTTAGGGGCTCTAAATTCAATTTCTTTGAAACACGTAGCATTAGAGTTTCATAAGTTAACTTTTGTAAAGACAATTTTAGTTGAAGATTCATGGGTAAAGGCATATATTGTAAAACACCATGAACATTCTCCCATGACCCTCCAAAACACAAATCTATCCAAACATGATCAACATTAGATGATTTCATGGTTGTAAATTAATTTACTAAACAGACGAGCTGCGAAACTAAAACCTGTTGCCGGATTGGGAAGGATGTCGTTGGATATAGGAACGGATGTCGCCGGAGAGAGTGATAGATGGAGATGGAATGAGTTGCGATTTAGGGATTTAGTTTATGATTTGCTGCTGTTGCGTAGTTATATACCCAAAATTTCAGTGTTGTGATTTACAGATTCTCGTTGCGATTTACGGATTATCGTTGCGATTTACAGATTCTCGTTGCGATTTACGGATTATCGTTGCAATTTACGAATACGCGTTGCGATATACGGATACGCATTGCGATTTACAGATACGCGTTGCTATTTACGGATACACGTTGCGGTTTACGGATACGCGTTGCGATTTATGTGTTCGCGTTGCGATTTTCATATTCGCGTTGCGATTCTGGAAAATCGCAATGCGAATTTGTACTATCGCATTGCGATTTTCAAGAATCGCGTTGCGATTTTGGAAACTGATTTGCGATTCTGGGGATCGCGTTGCGATTTTTATTTCGCGTTGCGATTTTGTTGGTCATTTTAGAAAATCCAAAAAAAGATGGTTAAAATCGTATATTATAAGACATTTTTGGTCACTGAGGCGATTTTCTCTTTATTATTATTATTATTATTACTACACAGCCACGAACTAGAGAATTTCGTTAATGATCATACCCACATTCTCGCTTATTTTCACCCTCTATAAATGCTACCCATGTGAAAGGTTAGCTTCAATTTTTTTTTTGCATTTTCCAAGAAAATAATTTCATTCAATTATTAAGATAGTGAAGATCAATCATGATTTTTTAATCATATCACTAGGATTTATATTTCAATTTTTTATGCATTGGCTTGAATTTTTTATGCATTCGTTTGATTTAAGTTATTAAATAAATAAATTCGTTAATTGACTTTAGTGATAAAAATAAATATTATTTTCTTTGAAAATCTTAGATTTAAATAACTATTTTTACTGGATGGGTATATGTTATCAATAATTAAGAAAATTATAAATAAATATAATCATGTAATAATCTTAGACTATTTTAAAAAATATTATATATATATATATATATATTATATTTGTTGAACCCACGAGATATATAGAGTTGAATCACATAATCTGTTTTGCTCTTTAAGTTAATGAATAGATTATTTCTACTCAGTGACTGTGCATGTATGCATGCATAACACAGAGAAACATTTAAGATCGTAATTAAAATATGAACTAAGCGGTCTTAATTGTAAATGAATAGTTGATTTTTTTTAGATTTTGAGTTCAAACACCATGAATACAAGGGATTTAAATGTTTAATATCAAATGATTAAGAATGATCTTTAAACAGATTTTAACTTATACTTATTTCAAATTAATAAAAAAGAAAGACTATAATTAAGCAAAGATTAATAATAATAGTAATAATAGAAGCACAACTAGGGTTGCTTTGACTTGTACTTCAATCACAATCTAGATGAGGGGCAACGAAGAAAACGGCACATTAGTGACAATAATGAAATGTAAAGAGAGTCACACACGATCCATCTACCTTAGTAATTAAATGACAGTTATACTACAAAACAACCCTCACTCCGTCACATAACAATACATCCATCACTACATAACGTACAATTTCTTGGTCCCGACGGCTCGCCAACCGCCCACGTTTTTTTCCCTTTGCACCATCAAACGCTATACATACACACATGCCCCCTTCTTTTCCCACTAAACTCCCATCCCTCTCCCACTTATTCCTTTCCTTTGCTTTGCGGTTCTATCGCAAAAAAATGTTCGCAGTTAGTACTGACCAGATGTTGCAGTGCGGTGTTCCACGGCCAATGTTGCCTATTAACGGAAAGTGGAAATCCAAGGTTGAACTTGCTCCCAATTGTCCACGTTGTGCCTCCGCCAACACCAAATTCTGTTATTACAACAACTACAGCTTGTCGCAGCCCAGGTACTTTTGCAAAGGTTGCAGAAGGTATTGGACCAAAGGTGGTTCCCTTAGGAATGTGCCTGTCGGTGGTGGCTGTCGTAAGACTCGACGTGGCAAGTCCACCAGTGTCAACAAAAATGGTGGTCAGGTTCAGGTTTCTGAGAATCATAGTAATCACGATCAGCAGACGATTGGGACCAGTAGTTACTCCGATGGAAACCCAGCGAACCAACCAACTCCTGCTAGTGGGTCGGATATTGATCTAGCTGTTATCTTTTCTCAATTCTTGAACCAAAACACAAGCTCAGATCAGCACGAGATTCTTGCTCAAGAATGGCCTAATGAAGGGATCGATCCATGGAGTGTTTTAGAACAAGATATCAACACCCCAAATGATTCATCGATGGAGTGCCCGGATTTACCAGTGGTTCATCCGAGTCCAGAATCTTATTTGCTTCAAGAAATTCCTCGTTTTAAGCAACATCTAAAAGAGGATAATAACAGTGTCGAGGGATTGCTGGAAACTGACCCGATGAATGCGTTTGGGTTGCAGAATTTGTTTGCTGAGGAAATGGTACAAGATGTTTTCTGGTCTAATTCTGCATCAGAAACTCCGAGCTTTGAATGTCAATCGATGGTTCAACTGCAACAGTTCGAGTCCTTTCCGGTTGATGATCACCTAAAGGTTTCTGCAAACTTAATGGCTGATAATTGGAGTGTCTTTGATCTGTCTGGATTTGAACTTTTTTCAAAACCCGGAAGCCAAAGTCAAATTTCCAATTTTATATAGTAACACTTATACTATTTTTTTAAATAAAATATTAACAATTAGTAATATAGAAGACTTTTATTTTTATTGTATTTAAATAAGCTTTGACCATTTGATTTATCCAAATAAAGCCTTATTTCAAATGAATTAAGGATTTATTTAGATATAAATTAAAAAGTAAGATTTATTTGAATGCAATAAAAATACTAAAACATTATAAATCTCAATAGCTTACTTACCCTTGTTCTTCGTTTATTTCTAATTTGGAGTCAAATGTATTTGTTAAATAGTTAATTATGGTACTAGTAGAAAGTAAATACTCCATCTTTTATTTTTTCCTCTTAATATCCTACATTAATTTTCCTTCAACTTTTACTTAATTCTAAAAAAAAAATAATAAATGAAAATTATTAAGGAGAAGGAAAATTAACGTAGAATCGATTTCATAATAAGGAAAATTAATGTAGGATCTTAGTTAATGTAAATTGTAAAAAATAAAAAATATGGACAATCTTATCTTAAGCAATAGATGAGAGGGTGTAAGGGTTTTTTTACGGAAAATTATTATGTAGTTATTTCCCTCCATTAAGTTATAAAATTAATGAATTAAAATAAAATATCCCATTATCTTTTTGCCATACCATATGGATGTTTAGACTTAATTCTTCATAGCATCCAGCAATGGACGCAAGTTAGTAGGAAGATTATAGTGGTCAATAATAAAAGTGAATAAGATAACAATAATAACAAATCGAGGGTTTGATATAAATGCTGTGAAATAGAATAATAGGGATAGAAGAATAAGACATGAAAGTAACGTATGGAATTAATATAGAGATGCCTTGATGATCATAGGAAAACAGGTTGGGGGGGGGGATTAATGCTTGTCCTGTGATGTTGGTGTGGGATCTCTAATTTGGAAGTTGCCACCTATTAATCTACTTGTCTGATGTCGACCCTCACATGATGCTTCTCCAATATATAATAATAATAATTCGATGATATTGAGACGGATCTAAAACTTCATATTACTAATTATAGGATAATCGACCTTAAAGCTTCCGCCAAGTCTATTCGTAATATGAGATGTGTATATTTTTAATAGGTTAAGAAATATAATCATATTAAACAAATAAAAATATATAATAGATTTTATTTATGTTTAATGCAATGATGGTTAGACATGTCTAAAATTATAGTTGGAACAATAAAATTATCATAAGTTGATATTACATATTAAAGTTTGAACTCTTATTATAGCATGATTGTATGTAGTACATGAAATTTGTAACGGTAGATGATCCATTTAAGACATAATTCACTATTCAAAGTAAATTATTATAATACGATTTTATGTGTTGCATAAAATATATAACGTCAGATGATTCATATAAGAAAAGATTCATTATTCAAAGTAAGTTATGATAATATCATTTTATGTATCACATGAAATATGTAATGATGGATTACATGAAATACATAACGATTTTATGTTAGGGGACAAATTTATAAAATTTTAAAAGATGATAAACTTATAAAATTTTAGACGGATGAAAATAGATTTTCAATCGTAAATATAAAAAAAAAATACTTAAAATATATAAGAATTTGAGACTTTTAAAATGGACAACTATCCCTAGGCTCTACCCTTCTCTTTCGGTCCATCCCTTGTATCTAGTATGTTTGATTACTAATATGTTTGATTACTTGTGAAAGCATTGCATCTTACTTTTTTTCTTCTTTTTTTTTTTTTTGCTTTTCGAGATATTTGATATAAATTTATTACAAATAACAACTAGGATAGTCTTAATATTACAAAAATCCTCAAAAAATATATATCACATAAATAAAAATATTTAAATCTGTATTATCATCCCTAATAAAACTTGATGATCTCATGTGTCAAGTATCCTTGAAGGATTTTATTGGTCAGATTGCAAAGCTGAAGTAGAAGGCAAATCAAATAGTTGGAGTTCTGTCCTTCCATCCATCCAACAGTCAAATGATTAAAATTGCCGCCATTATCATCGTAGATGGATCACTGAGGAGCAATCTCACATGACCCATCATTACAGCACCAGGCCTTGCTTTCCTTCTTTGCTTGCTCTTCATCAATGGGTAATTGTGCAAATTGCAGTTGCTTAAATTGGGATTTTTTCTGACACAATTGAATGGGTTGAAGAACATAAGATAATGGGTTCATGTTCCAGTTTTTGGCCCACGCAAGATCCTCAACCATAGCCGACACACACAGGCGGAAGGAATATAACCCTAGTTTTGGTTATATTTATTCTAACATTAATAATCTGACAACCAATTTATTATTCTTTTACTGTTATATTCTAGGCAAGGACAACAGCTGTTCGTGCAAGAAGGATTATTTTACGCTCCATTAACTTTCTCACTTTATTTGCAATGTAAATATATCCCCAGTACTCCGATTAGGTCTCGATATTTGCATGTATGAACATTTATCAGAATATTTTTTTGTCGGCACTTATGATTTATCACCAAGCCTAAGCTACCACGTCTGAACATGCTATTATGATATTTGGAACTTGTAAGAATAAAAATATGATATTGCCAAAGTTTGGGGACCACGGTAGGATGAAAAAGGAGATCTGAGAATTTTCTGTTTAAGAGCATTATGCACGGCACTCAAATTTTTGCACCAAAGATGTAAACCCCCCCCCCCCCCCGGCGAAAAATACCAAGTCATCTACTATGCCCGCGGCTTCAATAGAAGTTTCAGATTCTGATTATTGATTAAAGTTATACATGAATAGACCGGATGGACCAAGGGGAGTTTGCGGGACAAACACTCTTGAAAATTTTAAATTCTCATATAATTTAATTATTTTTAGTATTTTATATTGATAATCTATTTTCGACCTTAACATTTTATAAATTCGCCCCTAACATAAAATCTTGCCTCTGATTATTTATATATTCCTGAACCACTTCTTTCAATGTCTCTCAGAGTCAGAAGCCTGCATACTAGAACCTAAGGAATTAGTAGCAAATGATTACTGCATGCTGACAACGATAAGTCTGATATACTAACCGGTACACTTCTGTAACAGCTGTTTATCTGTACGCAAATCAAATTTACATGTTAAATCTTCCCATGTCCGCTGTGCTTCCAGGAATCCAAAGCATTTATGGAAACATTTATGACAGGAAAATAAGTGCATTCCAATATAATCTCTTTGCACTATAATCAAATGCCACTTCTCTGAACAAAGGTGCACTCACAGTATGTTCATCAGATAACTGGAAAAGTTTTTGCAGATTACTAGCTCTTTTGCGGGTGCCACTTTATGCTGCATCCAACACTGTTAGCAAAAGGGAAATAATGATTTTCAGTTGGTAATCCATCTAGTCAAACGATTAAGTGAACAAAAAATGTAAAGTACATGAGGAAGAGATGCACCTTGGTTTCTGAACTGATGGTACTGGTTGGCCACTAAGGACACTGTCTATAGCAAGGCTTAAGTCCCAAGAAATTGTTAAACAAGGTAGATTGTTTACTAGTGCAACAGGAATGAGGAATCAAATTATTAATCATATTAAGCCTAAAATCACATAACCGAACCTTCCAGTAACAGGAACACTATTACTTGGCCTGGAATCATCAAATTGGCCGTGATATACCAGCTCAAATGGCCTCCTTCCATCCTTTTCTCAAAGAGAGAGCTTAACAAGTTATTATTGCTATTATTTTAAAGACTCTTTAACATGATCCCAAGACTTAATCCCACAATCTTCTAAGTGGATTACATAGTGATAAATCATACATTTCCAACAATAAAACCTTCATGGCACGACTTATCATTGCCAACCTGACTCAAGGATGGTAGCCTAGCCCAGTAAGGTAATTCAAGGGAAAAACCAACGTTTGATGTTTGGAACATAAAATAAGTTACACAGCTTGTGATTACCTTTTTAAATAGGAAAAACTCTGGCGTACAAACTGCCCCAAGATCTCTTGCAACATCTTGAGTCTGAGGTTTAAACATATTTAACTTGATCAAGAAGAAGCATTTAATGAGAAAATCAATTACGAAGCAAGCTAATGTCATTTGCACGCATGAAATGTCAGAACAGACAGAAGCTACTCCCGAAGAAATGTGTCAGAGGTCTAAATATCAAAAATGGAATCGAAAGATAATAAGATATTAAGAAATATATGAACAGGTGGGCCAATCACAGATGAAGAAGCCAGGTAATTGCGAAAACAGAAAACAGATGCTAGTCATATTCTTGCAGTCCCAAGGTTTTCATATTCTAATTATCTCAGTTGCATGTTTTAACTTTTTTGTCAAGGGAAAGGAAAGCTCGTAATAATGTTTTCATTTATTTACACTGTTTTTTAAAGGAGAACATGGATAGCACTGGCATACCTCATCATATAGGTAAGGGAAAGGATAATTATACAGCTTAGCATCTTCTGCCATGAATTGTGGTCCATCCTGTGAACAAAAGTTCATTTGGAGAAATCATACACGAAGCTTCATTGTATCTCTATTCTCAAATTAGGGGATCAGTGGAACCTGTGGGTGAGTGGCGACAGAATTTGAAGATATTGCAACAACAGCGAGCCCTTTCTGCAGCAGAGTGCAATAAATTTTGGATTGTCGTACAGTTAATTATCTTTCCAAGTTCCTTAACAGGAAATAAAGCAAGTTGAAGAACCCAGAAAGTGGAAGGGAACTTGGCTACCTTCATATAGAAATTGGAAAGCTTTGCAAGATCCTTCTTCAAGTGTTTTACAAATGGGCAGTGGTTGCATAGAAACATAACCTGCAAAGGAACGTGTTACCACAACTTTTATAATTAAATATACTTCAATTAAGAGAAGAAATACCATAAATAATCAAGAATATAAAAACAAAGATGCATGTAATTATCAGGGTTATTAATTATTTTGAAAACGTTGGTGTATTATTACTTTTGGGTTAGGAAAAAAAATCTAATTCTGTTAAGTGGCGCTATAAACCATGTCCCCTTTTTTCAATGTTGGTTCAAAGTTGATACATACAAACATAATTTTTCAACTCTACATATCAATAAAACTATAATGTCTTCGGTGATATTTTCAGAATTTATTTCCATTAATTTAGCTAGTATACGTGCTTCTGATTCTTTACATTCAAAAAAGGACATATCAGAAACGGGGTAAGGCAAAACAAGTATAATACTAGTTAAATCTGGAATTTTCAAGTTTTGACTGGGGCAAACATCTCCCTACCATATACATTCCCACCTGCATGAAATTGCCTTTGTTCAAGGGAAAAGTGTGCCCCTTTCTCAAGTACTAGCTCTACACCATCTGAAGGTAGTAGATTCAGAGAACATGAAAATATATAGTTATACTTCCATATAAATATGCTCAATGCCGTAATAGAAGATGTGATGGTTATACACATTAAACAACTTGAATCAAGAAGCATAGTGGACCATGGATTTTGAGGGAATACTGCGGACACTCCATGATATAACGTCTCTCTATAAATGAACTGTCTGTTTTCAAGCACCATGATATTAAAGCTTTAGCTTTTTCGTTAAATGAGCACTTAAGCTTCAACCTTACAGCATGTCCTACTGACCTAGGCCACGGATAGGCTCCATTCAACGAACTAAAACAACTCCAGCTATTTCTAAGCAGCAGACAGAGGCAGAGGTTCACATTGATTAAACAAAAATGCTCGAAAACTACATTTTTATCCTTCTGGATTGTTCCAAAATGCCAAAGTGAAGTACGTCTTTTTACTATGTAAATGAATGAACACAAACTAAACCAGGTATTACTGTAAAATTGCCATAGCACCTGAAACTGAGAGAGCAGGTGCTTGTTGAAATACCTATTTGGAGCTTCTGCATTCCATAAATTTAACACTTTTGAAGCATTGGCTGCGTCACAATTATCCTGAAAACTAAATAAAAAATGCCAATGCCAACGTTTGATGCTACGGTGGTATCATAGGATCTTAAACTTATACTAATAACTGCTTACCTATTCTAATTGGAATCGAAACAATTTTTTCTTAAAATGAAAAAAGTGAGATTTTTTCTTAAAATGAAAAAAGTGAGATTTTGAAAACCACATTAATTCTTAATTATCCTCTTTTTAATTTAAAAACAAAATACGATTTAAAATGCCTCTCGTTTCGAAAAATTTTAGATTTCCTTTACAATCGAAATATACGGTTCAAAGAGTCGCCACCAATCTTTTATTAGGGTGTGATTGGGCACCCAAAAATATTTTGTTATTTTAAATAAAAATTAATTTTAATTAAAACAACAAACTGAGGTTTGCGTTACCAAAATCCGAGTTCGGGAGTCGGTTACGTACGGGGAATGATTAGCACCCCACAACGCCCTAAGAAGGTACCTAGTCGATTAATTAATGTCTTTGCATTGAACTTTACAAATTCGAACTTAATTTGATTTTTGATCCCATAAAACAATGATGTAAATTTAAAAACATTCAAAAACACTCAAACAAATTAAATTAACATTACCGAGTCATTTTAGAAAGATAAAGAGTGTTCGATTATTTACAAATATCGAGACCAGATCTTAAAAGCTATAACAACCTTTTCTCGATAAATTTAAATAAACGAACACTTCCTTTTCTTTCGTTCCCAAATTTTAAGCGAAGATTCAATTTTTAGGTTTCACTTTCGGGATACACTTTTATTTTAAAATTATTAAAAGCGGACCTCAAATGCGTATGACAACCTACTTAAAACAATTTTAAATTAAAAGTGTATCATCCTTAATCCAATAATGTATTATGTCGAGTTATGCAAATGAGGTTAGCATGCGAATAGTGCAAAAAAGGATATCATGCCAAAATTAATTAAACAAAATTAAAAACATCATACAACGTGACATACAAAAAATTACATACATATATTTTAATTAAGGATTATAAACCATGCATATTAACATATAATGTACAAATGTAACTTAAATATAAAAATAAAAACATGACATGCTAAACTACAATTTAAAAAAAATGTATATACATATATATATATTATACATTAAAGTAATGACTAAATCTGAACACATGTAAAATTAAACATACTAATTTAAAATTAAAACAAAGACTTAAAGGAAAGCAAGCATAAATATCATGGACTTAAACCTAATTTAACCAAAAACTTTACTATAACTTAACTAAAAAAAACTTAGTAATTTATTGAAACAAAAGTGCACACACGCCTCACCCTCTTCTCTCTCGCTAAACTCACACAACTTAAACTTTAATGGTTGCCTCCCAACGCTACTGCCTCACTCATTTTTTGATGGCCATGGATCAGACCAAATAAAAAAACAAACCCCTCTTATAATTTCTATTCTTCCTCAACTCCCATCTCTCGATCGAAACTCTCTCCCTCACTATCTACCCTTCGAAGCTCACACGATGATACCAACTATCTACTCCGACAAAACCGACGATAATGTTTCCGGTGAATAAGGTAAATGGACTAAAACCCTTTTCCTATTTGCATTCAACCCTTAAACGAATTGATTTCAAAATATTTACTGATTTTATTCTATTTTTTTAGGAACCTAAGCCGACTATTTATTTTTTTCCTTCGAATGTAGCATCGGAAATGACCCCGAACCTCTAAGGTAAATGTACTGTTATTTCTATATAGTTTAACTTGATTTTGACTCAAAGCATATACATGTACAAGTAAATTACAAAAACAATTGAAAATGGAAACATAGAAATAAGTAAGTAAATTACAAAAACAATTGAGAATGGAAACATAGAAATAAGTAACCCTTTTTGATTTTGTGTATTACTCTGATTCAATGACAAGAGAGATCCTTTGCTTCCTTTGATCTTCGAATAGGAGGGAAATACCTCTTTTTTTGTACAAAATTTTTTATGTTTATTGGTTTCTCTCCGTAAAAAAACAACAGGTTCTTTCTCTCCTCCTTTACAGTGATTTTTTTTGTTCATTCTATGTGTTTTTCCCCAATGTCTAATCCCCTCTTTTTTGTTCACTCAGTTAATTTCCACTTTATGTGTTCTCTCCTCTCTCCTCTTTTAGTTTCCAGTGGTTACCCCCTTTAAACTGATCCTTTTCAGTTTTTTAATTCCCCAGTCGTGCTTCTCTTTGTTAACTGCCTTTTCACCCTTGTTAACTCCTTCTAACCATTTTTGTTTTCCAGGCTTCACGTAGGCTGGTTTGCTCTGCTGAGGAATATTGGACTTGAATTGGGCCTTCAATAGATTTGGGGTCGGGTTTAGCGACCTAGTCCCGGACAAAAACGAGCATCTACAACTGCCCCTCTTTGCTCATTATCGTGTAACGAGAATAGAGCAAAGATCAAAAGATGATCGAGTTTGTCCGGTTCTGAGAACTTCAAAAGATTAAACCACTCACTGTTACGTCGGGATAAATGAGACTTGAAAAATATTCAAATGACGTATCCACTCCCTCTTGTTCAGGGATTAAAGAACTCGAACAATCTTTTAAAAACAGGTTCGCTCCCTGTTGCTTCAGGGAGTAGAACTCGAAAAATCTTATGTTTACGAGTTCACTCCCTCTTGCTTCAGGGAGTAGAACTCGAACAATCTTCTGCTTACGGGTTCACTCCTTTTTGCTTCAGGGAGTAGAACTCGAACAATCTTCTACCTACGGGTTCTCTCCCTCTTACTTCAGGGAGTAGAACTCGAACAATCTTCTGCCTACGGGTTCGCTCCCTCTTGCTTCAAGGAGTAGAACTCGAACAATCTACTGGTGTGATTTTGCTTCACTATTCTTCCATGAAGGCTCAACTTTGATGGTTAAACCTGAAAATCAAACGTTTCCACTTATTAATGTATGCTTGAAGATTTGAAAAATATTATACTAGAAAAAATTTAGAATTTAAGAGAATCTTTGAGAATCCATTTCTCTTGAGGGAGCATGTCTCGCAACAACTAGATATGAGAATATTCTTGGACTCGACTGCCATCTGAACCTCTCTCTTCCTGGGACTTTGAATTGGTTAATGACTCCTCGTGCGCATTTCCTTTTAATCAATTGATCCGCTTCTTTGTACTCGAGAACCTTCAATTTCCTCCCACATCTGATGATCTGATGACTTGCTCCAACACTATTCCGAGAAGGATTAAAATGGTTCGGAGGACTTATCATCTTGCTCGAAAGACTTACAGATGACCCGAAGGATTTCATCATCATGCTCGAAAGACTTACTGATGGCACTTACTGATGGGTTTGCTTCACTACTCTTCCGTGAAGGCTTACAAATTACCTTAAGGATTTAATCATCATGCTCGAAAGACTTACTGATGACACGAAGAATTTCATCATCATGCTCGAAAGACTTACTGATGGCCCGAAGGACTTGTAAATTGTGAAATTTTGAAAATTGCATTCTTTGTTTTCAAAAATTTCATCTTCTCAAAACATGGTTTTTTCATTTTCAAATTCATGTGAAAACATCTTACCCGAAGGTTTTACGGATGGCCCGAAGGATTTATCATCTTGCTCTAAAGACTTACAGATGGATTTACTTCACTACTCTTCCTTGAAGGCTTAAGATGGTGCTTCACTACTCTTCGGTGAAGGCTTACAAATTACACGAATGATTTAATCATCATGCTCAAAAGACTTACTGATGGCCCGAAGGACTTCATCATCATGCTCGAAAGACTTACTGATGACACTAAGGACTTAAATTGCTTACTGGGTAAGAAATATTTCTTATTTGATGTTTAACTTCTACATTTCAATTGTCGGGATTTTAACATCCTGCATCTTCTCTTTTCACTGAAAGATCTGTCAAAATCATGTGTTTATGCATGAAACATGAATGCAATTAAATGAATCGATGTAATGATTTTTTATGCAAATGATGTTCTCATAAATGCATAAATGTCGATTTCATCTTCATTTGACCTCAAAGTGACAAACTTAGTCTTCTTCTACTTGATCATTCCTCTTCGGAGTTTACTTTAGATATCCGTATAACAACTCATAATTTTCAACTTGCATTTTTGAAGAGCATTCTGATATTCTTCTATCTTCTTGTTGTCTTCATTTTTTTTATCTTCATTTCGGAGAAATTGTTTTCTCTCTCAATTTCTTGCTATGATCAGAAATACCACTGTGTTGCCCCATTTCCATCCTTGGCTCAATTACGCTTTCTAAGTTGTTCTTTTCGGACTCTGCCATTGATTGATGCTCGGTTGGTTTGCTTTACAAGGTAAGCTCTACTCAAATTCACGGTTTGCCCCTGACACTTCAAGTGGTAAGACTCATTCTCAATGTCTTATTGGTCTGAATCTTGTCATCTCAACATGATCTGGGTTTCTGGTTATGCCTCAATGTGGGTACTTATTGCTCCCTTCGTGCCCAAAATATTTTAATCTTGAATAGTCTCAATCTAGTGTCACTACACAGTAGTGTCAAATAGCTCGAAGGCTTCTCTTCATGTTTCCACAAACACTTAAGAAGTGATCAACTTTTTTAACAAAATGTCTTGCATTTTTATACAAGCTGGGATAAGTGCCCCTTCCAAATAATGAGACCATCTTCTTCTTGGCGGGTTACTAACAACGTCACAAGGAAATGCTACAAGTTGTATTCTTTAGTCTTTCTAATCTCTCGGACCACTTGCTTTTAATACTATGAAATGCTTTATTATTCTAGCATCATTTATTTTTTCTACAACAGAGGCAAAATAAGCCTTTCTAACTTCAAGGACTTTTCACATTTGAGAATGTCCTGTTTGAAAATGTTTTCCTTTTTCTCTTATTTTAGGGATCAAAAAATGAAAGAATTTTATAAAATATTACCCCTCAATTCACACTCACAATCGAATCAAATCACAAACATGAGTTCCCAGAATATCAAAAGAATCAATAGCTTCTTTAATGTTTTCAAAGTTATAGCT